TAATAAAAAGGAATTTTCACAATAGATGATAAAGTTCCTTCAAATTCAAGATTCTAAAAGAGAAAAAAAAGTCATAACAAGTATATCACAAACAGCTGTTCCAAATAAGATCTCTACAGCTACCTAATGAGGTTAAATCACAGAAAGCAATCCTAAATATTGTTCTGACACTACTAAAAATTTTCTTAGTATAAAACTCTAACATTTAAAACTAACATATCCACATTTTCAACAGCTGAGATAACATAAGTAGCAAAGGTTTAAATTTTAGGATTATGAAATTAAATATGTCATAAATTCCTTAAAAACTTATAGTAAAAAATATTCAACATTGGTTCAAAACTGTATGACTTCTCAAACAGAAAAAAATATATATTATTTATTTCTGCTTGACTGTCACCAAGTCTGATGTCTGGTAACGAATGCCAAGAAAAAAAATATTTCATTTGGTTAAAGTAGGAAAATGCCCTGAAGCATACAGAAGAGCTGGCCTATCATTCCTCATCTCTAAATAGCTTCTTCTTTCCCATTAGTTCAAGATGACTGCTGCCATGTCACAAGCTCTTAGAGATTCTTTGACTCCAGGAGTTACTCAATGAAATCCAAGTTTCACCTTTAAACACAGTGAATCCCAAGTCAATGAACAGTTTCCAAAATTGTAAGACAAGATCAGAAAATAATGTCGTTAAGAAGTCAATTCCTCATTATCAGAGTCTGGGTCCAAAAACAGCAACACCAGACTCACTAAATTAATCAATATACCTGTACTTAATAAACACTTTGAATGGAAAAATTCTATAGTAAGGCTCCTATAATGAAAGTCTATGTCACATCTGAAAGCAGTAATATAAGACGAGCAGAGCAGAAGTGTAATTAAAAGTATATAAACAGATTTCCACTTCTGGCTAAGATGGAATAACAAGGACCAAATTTACTCAGTTGCCTGAAACAACTAGAAAAAGTAAGCCAAAATATACAAAACATTTTTTAAGACATTAAACATCAGGCAACAAAGGACAGTGATCTCTGTTAGATGAGAAACAGCCTGGGTCCAACAACTGCTCCAGCTTATCGTCTTGAAAAAGTTTCCAGGCCAAGGAATAGGCAAGAGGAAACCTAGGCAATTGCAAAGTGGTCTCCCTGAATTGAGGAGATACAATTAAATCTAGAGACAAGGCAACTGGAATACACAGGGTAGAGTACCTAAGAGCTGTATAGGAACACCGTATCTCTCAAGTTTTCAGAGGAGTACTTACCAGTGAGCCACAACCGTAGCCCCCCTCGCCAATCTACTTTTGAAATCTCAAGATTCCATAGGAAAAAAGAACATTTCTCAGCCAACTGCCTGTATTAAGTGTTTCTTTAGATATACTTTGTGAAGTATATCTAAATATATATAAAGAACCTATCCAAGGATAATGAAAGAATCACCAATTCTATCATTAGAGGAAACAACACTAAACAATTCCTGCTCCCACTAGTCAAAGTACTTAGAAGGGTTTTGCCTTAATAATAAATACAACAAGTGGACTTATAAGCAAGTCTCAAAAAGATCAAAATTGTTTGCAAGTAACTGCATCCCAAAACAAAGTTCAAGATTTTTTAATTTAATGGAATAAAAAAATATTCAATACCAGTCAGGCAGGTGGCACAGGCCTGTAACCCAAGTGGCTCAGGAAACTAAAACAGGAAGATCTGAGTTCAAAGGCAGCCTCAGCAAAAGCGAGGCGCTAAGCAACTCTGTGAGACCCTGTCTCTAAATAAAATATAAAATGAGGCTGGGGATGTGGCTCATTGGTCAGGTGCCCTTAAGTTCAATCCCTAGTATGCCACCCCACCCCCAACCCTGAAAATATCCAATACCAACAAGGTAGAATTTCAAATATCTGGCATCAAATAAAAAAATAACAAGGCATATAAAAACAAGAAAATACAATCATACAATCCATAATGAGAAGAAATATCAATCAAAACCAACTCAAGGGACTGGGTTGTGGCTCAGTGATAGAGCACTTGCCAAACATGTGTGAGGCAAGGGGTTTGATTCTCAGCACCACATACCAATGAGTAAAATAAAGGTTCATCAACAACTAACGACATATTTAAAAAAAAAAAAAAACTCAAGAAAATGACACATATATAATTAATAGACATGGATATGACCAGGTAGAGCTCCCGTATGTCCAAAAAGCTAAAGAAAACATGGAAGATATAAATGATTAAATTTCTAAAGATGAAACAATAATGTCCAAAATGAAAATTAAGATGATGGGATTAAGAACAGATTAAAGGGCTGGGGGTGTAGTTTAGTGGTAGAGCACTTGCCTAGCACTGGGTTTGATCCTTAGCACTGCATTAAAATAAAGAAAGAAAATAAAGATATTGTGTTCATCCACAACTAAAAAAAAAAATTTAAAAAGAGCAGATTAAACATTATAGAAGAAAAGATTAATGTACTTGAAGACATCACAATAGACTATACAAAGTGAAACAAAGAAAAAGACAAAAGAAAAATTGAACATCAGTAATCTTTAAGACAATGTCAAGCAATCTAACGCCCATGTAATCAGACTTCCAAAAGGAGGAAGGAGGTACAAATATATATAATAAATATACATATTTGAAGAAATAATGGCTGAAAAGTTTCCAAATTTGATAAAAACTACAAACCCACAGATCCAACAAGCTCAACAAACTTCAAGCACAGGGTACTGAAGATAAATATATAAATAGTTTTACAAATGGTTCTTGCTCACAAATTCTATAACCAAATGTAATCTAGAAATTATTTAGACTCTAGAAATTATTTAGACTAACGTTAACCTTTAGGTTAGTTTACTGGGTTCGAGAGTTTCAACTGACACTTTCTTAATAGCCTATCAAAAATCCTAATTTAAAAAAAAATCCTAAGATTTCAAAATGTAATAACACAGCTTTTAAAATAATATATTGTTTTTTTGCCCTATCACTGAAATAAAAGGTCATTAAAAATTTTGTACTTATCTGATTTTAGCAAATTAATTTTTAGAAAAGCAAAAACATACTTCTCTTTTATAAATTTTCTTTTCCTTTAATTTATATAGGTCATTCAGAATAGAATTAGGACACCAAAAAAACTTTTAAGGAACCTGAGAGATGGAACCGAAAACAAAGCAGCAGATTTGAGGTTTAAAAAGCAACCAGTCCTCTCCAAAAAAACCTGGCAACCACTATTTGGAACACCATTATTTTTCATTAACAAATGAAAAACACACACACACACACACACACACACACACACACGGATGTCATATATACACATACGTATGGATATATATAAACATATTTACTTAAATATAAAAGTGTACTCTAAGTGGAAATGAGCTAATTACTAGGACTCAAAATAATCTAAACATTCTTTAGGGAAAAAAATCAGCAAAAAAAAAAATTACAGTGGAAAACTAATATATTTTCCTATTTTTGTGAGCATACATTTTTTAGCACACAAATTAAAATTTTCTGCCTACAAATAATCAAGTAAAGACACAGAGGGGGAGAGTTTTAAGTATCTATCATAATGGCTACCCTTCCTGTCCTGTGTTCCCTAAAATAGTCAGTTTGATCATTCTACCATTTTGTTCAGGAAATAGTATAATATTTCAAAGAAAAAGTTATTCCATGGGGTAGCTGCTAAAAATAAAATACTAAGCTGGAAATAATTTATGTCTACTCTTTTTTCCTTTCTAAAGAAAAAAATATTTACACACATTTAGATTATGTATGTATTTCTTAGGAGGCCTATACAAAAAAAGAACACATAATACTTCCCTGTATGATTAACACATACATGAAAAACACACGAATCTCTGAACACTAGAGAAGCTAACACTGGAACAATTATTTATGGATTTGACTTGTAACCTCCTTTAAAGACAAAAATCTAAACAGAAAAAATAATTTTCAATAAAATTCAGAATTGTTATTTTAGATGTAAAGTTATCACAGCAGAATAATAGATTTATTCTCTAGTAACAAGTATTTATTTAAAATGTAATAATTTTACACAATATAAGACAAGAATTCAATTCAAAAGTTGCAAACTACTTTTAGAGTCTATTCATGAGAAATAAGGCTAACTACACATAATTCTAGACGCAACTGTAATATTCAATTTGATAACCTATGCGGAAGTTTTTAGTATGTCTGTACGCTATAATACCTACAATGATAAAAATTATTTCACTGATCAGCTACTGATAGGCTTTCAATATCCAATTCCCATCTCAAAAACACACTGCTGCTTATTAATTCAATATTATAAACATAAAAACAAAGATTTGACTACTCAATCATCTAGTTGTCAAGACTTCAATTACTTGCATTTCACTTAAAAATACCTTTAAATGATTCACCATATATTAAGCAATCTCAAAATTCACACAATAAAAGTCATCTAATCAGACTTAGTTACTATAGGCATTTAAATTGCTTGCTACAGCAACAGTCCTCCTCACCAATCAGAACTGATGTTTAAAATTCTATCTTCTGAAATCTGTTATTACTTCATGTTTTGAAATTTGAGCCATTTATTCTTGAACACAAAGGTTGATCAGACACCATTTCTGCACCAAATGCACATAACTTCATAGTAAAGTCTTTTTCTTTTCTCTTGGAGAACCAGAGTCATATGTGTCTGTGTCTGTCTCTCTGATGCTCTCTTGTTTTACCAATTATCAAAGATAACACAATGTGGTTTGGATTTCAGTACTGAAGACAAATCAACGACAATAAAGGCAGAAAGAAAAGTAAAAGTTTCACAATTTTAACAGGTAAAATTACTGGGCTGTGATAAACGGGCTGGACACATATGATTATCACTTCTTTCAAGATCCAATTCTTAAACCACCTGAATTTTCTGCCAAAGAACCAAATTAAGGGCTTAAAACATAAAGTCTCCAAGTTCACAGCAGGTAATTTTTCAAGGAAAACAAGTTACCTAAAAAAAGAAGAAAAACACTTACATTTGGAGCATGACCTGGTTCAAGAATACCCCATCCACCAAAGCCACATATTCATCCAGGTTGGTCCCATTTCCTGCAGCCAGGGATCCAAACGTTTTAACCTAGAACAGAAGGATCATTAGGACGTAAACGCCCACCTCCATCTCTGCAGCCACAAATAACACAGCAATAAAGGACATCCTACTTACCCAAGTGACCAAGGGGCTGGTCATGAACTGCTCCAGAAGGGGAGTAAAAATTTCGTTCTCCATTTTACAGATTATGTATTCGAAAAGGGAAAAAGGAACTACCACAAAAATACGCCTAGGGAATTGGCCACTAAACGTTAAATAAGTAAGAAGAAATCAATGAAAGTCCATTTCGACAAGCGAGGAAAATCCCATCGAGGAGGGGGGGGGAACTCTCCCTCCTCAAAAACCCCCGAGGGAAACGAGCCGAAATCCCGTGAAGCGCCTTCAAGAACCCCCACGAGCGGTAGCCTGCGCTGGAAATGTCTGTACCGGGCGAGGAGGGGCAGAGAAAAGGCATCTGGAGGAGGAGGAAGGGAAAGGGGGCTGGAGCAAGACAAAAAGCCCGTCAAGGTTGCCCAGCTCCTGGAGGAAGCGGACCGGCGAAACTGCCCCCGAAGAATTAATCCCAACGTGGGCTAAATGAAATTCCGCGTCAGGGGTCCGAGAGGCCGCCAGGCTCGACCGCCGCGTTCCGCGCTACACGTTCCACCCACCAGTGGGCATGGAGCCGCTTCGACCCGCAGAGCCTCCCCTGACCGCAGCCCCTCACCACCGACAGGCAGGGTTCGCCCCTTCCCCCCGAGCAGACACCATCCCTCCAAAGCTCTCACGCCTCGCCTCCAGCCCCCTTCCCCTGCCGGGGGCTGGGGGCTTGAATGTGTGTCCCTAAGCCCCCGGCTGCCTGAGCTCCGCCAGCCTTTTCAGTGCGCCTCTGGGAAGCCCGGGCACAAAATCACCGCCGCACTCCTGCCTCCTCCTCCGCCCTCTCTGGAGGAGCCGGAGTAACGGCCTCAGAACCGCAGTGCCGCATCACACCCACTCCTCGCCGCCCGACCAGCGCTTACGAGCCCGCCGTCAAAGGGAACGCGCTGCTCCCTCCGCGTCGATATCCTTCCGCCGACTCCCCGCCCCTCCTGCACCGCTGCCTCTGGATTGTGGGAGAAGAAAACCGCTGCATGAGCGCGTCCCCGAGCGCGCGCCCCCGGGCCGGCCCCGCCGCCGCCCAGATTCTGGCAACGAGCGGGAGCGCGGGCGCGCGGTCTCTGCAGCTGCTGCGGTGGCCGGCCCCTCGCTCCCGCGCAGGACGGCTGCTAGGGCGGCGGAGGGGGGCACCGGGGAGGAGGGGATGGGTAAGGCAGAGGAAGGGGGTCTGTCTGCTCGCTCGCTCATGCCTAATTATGGTTTATTTCCTCCTCGAGTGCCTCCTTTGATGTGTGAAGGAAAGAGAACGCAGTCCTTCTTTTTTAAACATGAGGGATGCAGACTGCCTTTTTCGGACAGTTTGATCTGTTAAGCATGCTTTCTCCCCAGCGAGATGGATTAGAAAAACAGGCAAAGACATTTGAGCCACAACTTGGTTCTTGTTTCTTTTCTTTTTTCTTCTTCTCCTTTTCCTTCTTAAGAAAAAAAAAAAATCTAGTCGGAGAAAGCGTGAATGTTCTTCAAAGTTGCCAGTGAAATATGGTAGGATTTTAAATAACCAAAGCTGTATTCCCTGACTGGAGCAAACGTGATTCAGACATTGTGTGTGTGTGTGTGTGTGTGTGTGTGTGTGTGTGTGTGTCTATTTGGCCATTGAAAAATATCCGAAAAAAATCAAGAGCTACAAAGAGGAAACATTTGGAAGTCATCCAAGTTAGGTGACAAATAAACAGATTACATATTTGTCATAAATCTCTATTCTATGCATGACTAAAACCATCAAAATAATTTTTGCAGTCCACTAGCAAAATCAAATGTTTCTCCTAATTTTTCCTGAGATAAAATGGGCATGTGAAATACATTTTTTAAGAAAATAAATATACTATTATAGTTTTACAATGTGTGCCGTGTTCACATTTACATATATGCTATTTTAAATAAACAGTAAAAACGTTTTTGTCATAACACTGAATTAAGAAACAGCACAATTTCTTAAATTTAATTAAATATTTGAGAGCCTGATTCTGGAGTTTGCCTGATTATAACACTTAACCAGCTTTGTAAGCCTAGGCAAATTACTGAACCTCTCTGTCTTCACTTTCTTCATGTGAAAGGAAGATAAGGGGCTGGGGTTGTAGCTCAGTGGTAAAGCTCTAACCTCGCAGGTGTTAGGCCCTGGGTTGAATCCTCAGTACCACATTAATAAATAAGAATAAAGATATTGTGCCCATCTACAAATAAATAAATAAAAGCATATGAAACCAGTAAGCTTTTATAAAGCAACTATTCTATTATTGTTGGTGATGTTTTCATCACTATCCCTCCATGAGGAATCCTTAGAGAAAACTTAACCTGTAACCTCCTCTACTTCATTTCACTTGTAACAGAAAAGATCTTGTCTTGAAAATAGAGAAATAAATGCCCTTCTAAAAGTTATTAGGATGCATTTATGTAGCACTGGTGGTGTAGAGCACAGCTTTGCATTGCTCTGGCCAGTACACAAGACTTGAGTCATCCTGGTTGCTAGCAATCTTTTTCCTCTACTCTTGATGACTCTTTCTTAATCACATTCATATTTGGTAAAGGAAATGCAGACAGAGGGAGAAGAGGCTCCAAGAAGGAAGCATTACTTTCAAGAGCAGCCCAGTGCTTGACATGTCTATTTTCCTTTATAATCTCATAGAAACTTGACAACATGAAAGTACTTATGTTTATTCTGGAGTTTACCCTAGGACAGACCAACTTACTTCAATCACAGATGGAAACCCCAGGAAGTATTAACAACAAGTACAGCAGGTTAAGGATGTTTCAGTTAATGGCGGCTGAAGGGTTAGCCCAGGAGTAGTACATTAATGTAGCATGGTTTATCCATTTTAGATTTAGTACCCATCCCATCCTTCACAGAAATCTGGATTCCCCTCTAGAAGCAGATGGCCCCAGATGCTTCCTGGTCTATCTTTAGGTTTTACACATACACAACACACACACATACACACACATACTCAACAAAGAAACATGAGGAGTTAATTGTAAAAACAGGAAATTTTAGGCCAGACTGAAGTCTGCAGGAACTTATTTGAAAATCTACCAATTCACAATTCTCTAGTTTAACAGCAGCCTTAGAAATGTTTTATAATATCTCAAGAGTACAATCAGGAAACTTCTCTGTCTGGCAAAAGAGGGACTGTACATTATAAATAATTTAATGGTCCTTGAATTGCAATGTCCTGTAAGATTAAATTCAAAAGCCTCCTATCCTTTCACATAGGAAAATATTTCTCAAGATTTATTCAAAGTGCTTTTGTTTTGTTCTTTGTAGTGATTTTCCATCCATCCTTTCTCAGAATGTTAAATGCAACAGGAAAGGACTTTGGAAAAACCATACCCATCTGGTTAGTTTTCAAATTATTTACTCAGCTTTATTCTGAAGCAAAACTAAATGGTTGGGATGGACTGTGGTTCCAATTAGAAATCACTAGACAAAGATTCTCTCAGTATATAACACTACCTATATACCAAGAGCACCTATCTCTACTTCTACCTGTGTTTATCTTGATCGGTACCATAAGAAGTGATAGTTTCACCCTGAACACAGCTCCTTGAGGAAAATATTTTAAAATACAGAGATTTGCAGGACTAATCATATTCATAAGCTAGTATAATATAACAGTAGAATGTCACCATTTTTTATAATAGCCCCAAGTCAAAACACCTGAAATGTCCATTGACTGATAAACGACTGCATAAAATGTAGTATATTCATATGATGGAATGTTATTTGTCAATGGTAAGGAATGAAGGGCAAGAGATGCTACAACAGGAGCTGGGGTTGTGGCTCAGTGGTAGAGCACTTGCCTAGCATGTGTGAGGCATCAGGTTTGATCCTCAGTACCACATAAATAAATAAATGTATTGTGTTCATCTACAACTAAAAAATACTTAAGAGAGAGAGATGCTAAAACATAGACAAATCTTAAAAGCATTATACTAAGTGAAAGACACAAAGGAAAACATTTTGTATGATTCTACTTTGCAAAATGTGATCAAGAAATTCACTCTGTCACAGACTTTCAGAAGAGCCCTCTTGATGCAAAGAGTAATATTTTAGATTCACCCGACAACATGGAAGGTTTTAATTATCCAATATATCCAATATAGTTTTAAGAGAAATATAATGTGGGTGGGGTGATCCAAATTATGCAAGGTTGTTTAACTTCTCTGAGCATCAGTTTCCTCAACTGTAAAATGGGCATAGTGGTTTTACTTCCTACTGGACACCTGCTTAGACCAGTGGACTTATTGTTTTGTCCTGCATTTCAACTGGACAGAAAAAAGAAAACTCAGAAAGAGAAAGTTCTCTTTTCAGTCCAGTATAAATTGCTATTCTCAAATACTCTAATTCTGTATTCCAAACAGAGTGAACCATCACAAATTCACCATAAAATTCCATGCTCAAATTCACCATAATACACATGCTACCATCCTTGTCCAGAATGCCCTATGCTCTTTCTTGCTTGCTAGTCAGACCAACTCCTACTCGTCTTTCAGGATGTTAGCTCTCTGTAAAGCATTCTCTGCCTGCACAGTATCTAATCTCCATCTTCCTTTAGTAACTTGCTGTGAATCGGCATGTATTTGCCCACATGCTTTTCTCCTTAACAATTTTGTTTTATTCAATTTTATATCCTTGGGTCTAGGATTGTGCTTTGCAATAGTGGACACCATTATGGACACATCTATCTAGTTAATAGAGTAATGTCTTCCTTCAACCATGAAGACCAGTTTAAATTCCTAACAATAGACAAGAGCTCATAGCAGAGCAACTCTGAGAACTATTCTAATTAACTAATGACCTTGAGAAGACATTAGCTAGAGATTGTTGAAGGACTAAAGAATTTGCCCTGGGACATTGAGGTCAGAAAATAAATAGCCTTCAAGACAGCTTTTTCTCAAGGCTACATAATTTTTTTTTCCAGAGAAAAGCTTAGAGGATTACATAAACATCATATAATCTTTTATTTCTTAGGCAACATACAATGGTATTCTTTTCAGAACACCCAAACTGTTTTTTTTTATTTTAAATTGTTATTTATTTATTTATTATGATTTATTTTTATTTATTTACTTATTTATTTTTGAGACATGGAGATCTCTCTGTGCTTCCTAGACTGACCTCTAATTACTGGCTCAAGAGATCATTCTGGCCTCAACCTTTCCAGAACCTGAGACCTCAGATCCTCACTACCTGAGACTACTGATACTCTTTTTCCTTTTTTGGGGATCCTTTTGATGGAAATCTTCTGAAAATGTGTTATAATTGACTAACCTTTGTTGAACAGCATGTTCTGAATATAAATTGACATTTTTGAGAAATTACATCATAACAACTATCTAAATAATCCTGTTGTGCTTTTATATAGTGATATATTCAGAGGCTCTTAGGAAGTGCTAGGGTAGCTTGGCACAATGGTGCCCTCTTTTAATCCTAGCTATTGGGGAGGTTGAGGCAGGAAGATCACAAGTTCAAGGCCAGCCTCAGGAACTTAGTGAGACAAATGGCTCAAAATTAAAAAAATAAAATAAGAAAAGACTGGGGATGAAGCTCAGTGGTAAAGCACTCCTGATTTCAGTCACCAGTACCAATTAAAAAGAAGAAAGGAAAAAAGTTCCAAAAAACTAAGTTTTGAATTTTATTTTACTTGGAATAGTTTTTCTATCTTCTTTTGTAACTGACTATATATCTACCTATGGCCCCATTTAAATTCAGTGTTTCTAATTTTCTGTATGCTAGGAATGCACATTAAAATAGTCTAAAGAATTAATAATCTAAAGTCTAAATCTAATAGTCTAAAGAATAATAGTCTA